GTAAGTACCACCAATTAACACATGAGAGTAACTACTACTATTCCTGTCCTCCTCTATCATTATCTTCTCCCACAGGGGACAAAGTTATCTCAGGACCAATCAAGGGGGCAGTGACATTCTTAGATAATTTGTGGTTTGGGGCTGGAGGCAGAGGAGAGCTAAAGTTGGTTTATAGAATTTGATTTCAAATTCAAAGAATTTAGTTTCAAATATGCAATCAGAGGTAGAATAGGCTGTAGGCTCTCTTCACATTTCTTCTTCACAATACCAAACAGAGACTTATTTATATTAATAAAATAAGCATTCTTTTAAAGATTCATTTATTTATGCATAAAAGAACTGGGATACAGGTCAGAGGTATGGGAGGATTCACCAGGGACAGAGTGGGGAACAGAAGAGGCAGACTGACTGAAATACACTGCTGAGGGGAGCAGCGGGCAAGTCAGGAGAGGTCTGCTGCACCATGTGGGTAGCAACCCGGCCTGTCAGGTATCGAACTCATGCTGCAGAGGCTGTAGATAGCTTCACGGTGCTGTGCTTAACCCCTTGTGCCACCAGGGAGGCCCAATAAACAATTTTAAAAGGGAAATCTTTCTAAGAGATCTAGAAATCCAAGTCACTCACACATTGGCATGGATTGCTAACTTAAATTCTATAAGTTATTACTGTTTGGCACAAATGTGTGGATAGACTGAACAGAAAAGTAAACCACTGACCCCTATAAATAATGGTGGGGTTGATCAAATTATAGCTAAATAAACTTTATGCTGTAATTTCATTCTCTATCCCTTTTTGTCCTAAAGAAAAAGATGAAGCTTTTTTTTTATTCTTTTATAAACATGATTCTTAATCCTTTCAGTTATGACTATAGCAAAATATGTGTAGAGTTAACAATAGTCAGAATGTTCTTACTTTTCAAATTTGGTTTTTATTTATGAAAGCCCTTTCCTGGCCTTGGGATTCCTTGCTAGTTCAGTGCTCTTTCCCTGTCACGATCGCTACCTTTTGTTTCGTCATCTCTTTTGGTATCTTGAAAAAGTGGTCTACATTCCTTCCACCTCATCTTCCCCTTTTACTTTTCAAATCTTTGTAATCAAAATTCTGTCATCACTGTTTTACTAATACACTTGCCAAAACAAAAAGGTGCTGTAGTGGCAGAAAGGGCACAGAGCAGGATTTCCATGGTCCGAGCAGACGGGTGAAGGAGGAGTCCTGGAGCCCTCAGTGGCTATTCCAGGCTTTTATTGAGTTTACCAGTTACATGGCAGGCAGGAGTCCTGGGGGGCCAGGAGGCTGGGGGGCCAGGAGGCTGGCAGGCCTCCCAGCCCCCGGCAAATCTTCACTCTTCGTGGTCTCTCTGGTGTTCTCTTGTGGTGTCCCTGCTGTCTCTACTTCTCTGCTGGTCCTGTTCTCCTTCTGGTGGTTTTCTGCTGGTGTCCTCGTGACACCGCCCTTAAAAGCTCAGTCCCAGCCTGGGTATACCCATCTACTTATGCCCACACCCCACTCCAGGTGCCCGCCATCAAGCACGCATTCAGGACTGCAGGGTTCCATCATCAATCCTAATGGCGGGAGGGCAGAAAAGCCTGACAATCATTTACATTACAGGTGCTCACCTGTTAAGTTAGCTTTGAAGACCTCCTCTATGTTCTCATTCACTTAATTTCACTGCAGAATGGAATCACCTTCTACCTTCCATTCACTGGTTTTCCTTCTACTTCTTAGAACAACTGACTTCTCTTCCAGTGTCCATAGAATAAAAGTAAGAATTTCTTCAACATTCTTCCACTTGGGGCCTCAATTGTGGTGCAAGGTATTAAGTCTCAGCACTAACAAGCTATCACCAGCAACTGCAGTGGGAGTTCGATCCCTGGCCAGGGAGCTATCCACATGGCACAGCAGACCTCTCCTGACTTGCCTGCTGCTCCCCGCAGCAGTGAATTTCAGTAGTTCTGCTTGTTCTGCTCCCCACTCTGTCTCTGGTGAATCCTCTCACCCTCTTGCACCTTTGGCCTACACCCCAACTCTTGTATGCCTAAATAAACAAATCTTAAAAAAAAATTCTTAAACAGGTTAAACCAGTGGTTCTTAATCTTGACTCTACTTTAGAATCACCTAGGAAAGCTTTACCTACTGATGATGCTCAGGTCCCACTCCCAGAGGTTCTGATTTAATAGTTCTGGGGTGTACCTCAGTTTTGGGAGATTTTATTAATACCACCCCAGGTGGTTCTAAAACTGCCAGAAATGGTAACTGTCTGGAACTGTACCTCAGACTTCAGGAGGGGTGATTATTTTCTTAGAGACTTGGACAAAATTGACTCAAGCCCCTGCCCCTTAGGAAAACCTAAGTACTCTTTAAAATAACTGAATTCTGGGGGGGGGGGCCTCCCGATGGCGCAGCGGTTGAATGCTGGTTTGCGAAGCTGCCTGCAGCCTCTGCAGCACTGGTTCGATCCCTGGCTGATCCCGGCCACGGGAGGAGGGTCCCACATGGCACACAGACCTCTCCTGCCGCCCGCTGCTCCCCTCAGCAGTGTACTTCGGTCCTTCTGCCTGCTCTGCTCCCCGCTCTGGCTCTGGTGAATTCTCTCACCCTTCCGTGATTCTGACTGTACCCAGTGCTTGTATAAATAAATAAATAAATCTTTAAAAATAAATAAATAAAATAAAATAACTGAATTCTGAGGGCTGATATTCTCATGGTCCTTTCTGGTTCCTCGTTCCCAACTGTAGTGCCAGGAAGGAATAGAGCAGGATCTCTATGATCTGAGCAGAATGGGAAAGGAGAGTCCTGGAGCCCTTGGTGGCTTTTTCAGGCTTTTATTGGGATTCTGCCAGGTACACGGAGAGTCAGGGGTGTGGGGCAGGGGTTGGGGGCTGGGGTCACAGGAGGCTGGCAGGCTCCCATCCCCTGGAAATCTTCACCCTTTCTGGGCTATCTGGCATTCTCGTGGTTTTCTGGATTCTCTGCTGGTGCTGCTCTCTCTGCTTGTTCTCTTGTGGCGTCTCCATGACGTCGCCCTTATAAACCCCAGTCTCAGCCCAGGTGTACCCACCTACATATCCCACACCCCACTCCAGGTGCCTGCCATCGGGCATGCCAATGCTAATGGTGGGAGGAAAAAAGCCTGATAGTTTTCCTACACAAAACCCTGAAAATCTGGTATAATTTTGCATCTCAACTAAACTAGTGGTCCTTTTGCATTGTGTTCTACACAGGCAATAGATACAGTTCATTTTCCTTTGCTGTCTCTCTGAACTGCACACTGAAGATAGTTTCATGTTGGGAGGCTTACTGAAGGGTCAGTGGAAGGGATTTACACTAAAACAAATTGAGACGAGCAGTTGTTTTATTAACATCCAACTTCCTGCCATATAACTGAGCCTTGTCTTGCATTAGAACTTTCTTTTTCTAAAATTGTAATTGAGGTAATACTAGTTTATAGAGCGTATATGACAGGAGAATAGGGTCACATCTCCTCAGATGTATACTGCCTTGCCACACCCACCACCAGGGCACCCATATCCCTTTATCACCCAACACTGATATATGGAGTCATATATAACCTCCCCCTTCGTTCTTCCCCATCTCACTCATCTAATAGATTCAATTCTGCTGCGATATTTCCAGTGTCTGTCCTGGCTTAGTTTTGTCTGTTCCTTGGTTTTGTCCCTCTGTATTCCATATATGAGTTAATCATCTGTTATTTGTCTTTATTCCTCTGGCTATTGTACTTAGCATAATTCCCTTCAGTTCCATCCATGCTGTCACAAATGGCAAGAGTTCATCTATCTTTTTATAGCTGAATAGCCTTCCATCATGTGTATGTCCCCCATCTTTTTAATCTACTCTTATGTGGAGCACTTGAGGTTTGTTCCAAAACTTGGCTGCTGTAAATGTTCTGCAATACACAGGAGTACATATGACCCTTCAAATTAGTGCTTTTGCATTTTTGGATATTGCCTGGGAGTGGAATTGCTGGATTATATGATATGCCTGTTTTTAATGTTTTTGAGACACTTCCACATTTTTTTCTATAGAGGCTGGACCAAAATGCATGAGGGTTCCCCTTTTTCTCCATAACTTCAACAACATTTGTTACTTCTGAGTGTTCTTTTTTTTTTTTTTGACATTAGCCATTCTTATGGGAGTGAGGAGATATTTCATTGTGGTCTTGATTTGAATTTCCCTGACAGTAAATGATATTTAACACTTTTTTATGTGTCTTTAGGCCATTTGCATGTCTTCTTTGGAGAAGTGTCTATTTATCTCTTCTGCTCCCCCCCCCTTTTTATGGAATCCATTCTTAGATTTTAATTATCCTTGTGTAAGGGGAAAAAGGATGTCCTAAAGCTAATTCCATACAGGTTTTGTGGACTCCCCCCCAATCCAGACCAAAGCCATCAGGACATTGGAAAGACAATCCCATCACCACCAAAGGAAGGTTGCTGGAAACTGAGGGTGGAGTTAAGCACCAGGTTTGATATAAAACCAGACACGTGGGCTTTGGGGGGGCGCCCTTTTGGCTCTCCACCAGCTCGCTGCTCTCGCCAGCTCTCAGAGTGCCATTGGGTTTCCAGGTCGGCGGATCGGGTAGGACGCATTTAAGATTTTTTCCCTATTTTCTCCCCGAGTTGTACATTCCCTCATTTCCCCTTCCCTTGTAAATAAACCTTTTATTAACCTTTTGTGTGTGCCTGCAGTGGGGTATTAATAAGTCCTTTTTAAGCGCGCGGGTGAGGACACACAGCCAGGCAACCCGTTTTATATCGGGGCTGCTCTGTAACACTTGTATTACTATATTAAATAATTTATATTTCCATTTCCTTGGCATCTCTTAGAGTCTGTCTTCTCTTACCAGTGTCTTAAAATACTGGAGTAGGATAATATATTGATTAATTTTTCCTCTGATTCAAATTTCATCTTCTCACTCCTTGCTCCTCACCCTTACCTATCTTAAAAAGTACTCACATTCAATCTGGAGGCCTTTTAATCACCACACATGGCTTCAGTTATCAGTTGCTGTGGTAGGCAGAGTCCTGGAGGTGTTTCTTCAAGACTCCCATCCTCTGTAATTCAACGAAGCTCCTATCGAAGGTACTACTGTGAAGAAACAAATGCAGATCCATTTACTTATGCATCTTAAATAAGGTGATCACCTTATTTTATCCATGTGGCCCAGTAGAATCATATGAACTCTGAAAACAGAGGTCAATAGAATAGAAAGTCCGTTCATGGCTTTCATCAGGGTGTGGTATGGTAATCACTTCTTGAAGAGATGTGAACCTATTCCCCTACATCTACAGTTGTAAGCCAGTGTTACCCCTAAACAAACAAAAAACAGACAAACAAAATCTCTTGCCAAAGACCCAAGAATAGGATGGATCTTCATGTTTGATGAAACATTCGACTCAATAGCTGTGGGACTTCAGCTACAAGCTTGCCTGGTTCTCAGGGGCAGCAGAAAAGAAAACAGGTCATGAAATACACATAGGGGAAGGCAGGAAAAGTCTTTGTCATGAGGCAACAGGAGATACACAGGTAGCAGCAGCACACAGCAGTACCAGTCCTCCTGAGTTCTGGCCACAGCATTTTCCCCATGCCTGTGCCTTGTGAGTGGCCATAAGAGGCCTGTGAGAGGCTGTGAGATATCTCCCCGCCCCCTGCAGGAAACCAATTAGCTTTTATATAATTTATAGACAAAGCTGCACCGGGTCAAGTTTAGACCTTGCTTATAGAAGTCTGTTCCACGCATGTGAACTGTATCAGCAAGGTTACAATAGTTAATTACTACTCTCTGTATATGCAGACTACATCTCAGTCTACATGTTACCTACTGGGCCACGTGTGATGGAAGGTCATGGCAAAAAATAGTCTGAGCAAATCTATGTTTTCCTGTGGGCCCCACATACTGGATTTGTAGCCCAGGTGGCATAATAATGAGTTACTTGATCAATCCCTGTGACTCACACATATGACAACAAAGGAATATAAAAGGAAGGGGAAAAGCAATTT